GCAAATACATAGTAAAAATATGTAAAATAGTGGATTATAATGTATAGTGTAAGTCCTTAATTTTTTGCATTTTTGGGTATAAACCACACAGAGAACTTATGGTAAATACATTTATATTTTTAATAGAAAAATATTAAACAAGAAGATTAGAAAATTAAAAAATTTAAAACTTAATATAAAACAAAGAGGCGCGAAAAATTAAGCATAATAAAATTGGCAGCTTTGCTACTCATATTTCATATTTTATATTTCATATCTCATATCTACAAGAGCTGCTTAACAGCAACTTCTAGTAAGCAAACATCATTAGCACAACAAAAATATAGCAGCCACTTGTCATAGTAAAAGTTGAGACAACAACAAATTACCGAAGAATGTTCGCCGTACTCGCATTTGCTGCAAAAGCTCTTGAGAGTGTGAAAAGAACACAAGGAACGAATAAAACGAAAAGGGCACAAGTAGAAGTCCTGTTGGGGGTGGCTTTTGTCAATTTTTGGAGCTAAATAAAAGGAAAAGGAAAAGTAAAATTAAAAGCAAAAACAGAAACAGAAAAATACTAACAGTGTAACATGGCCAAAGAAAAGGACACAGTCATTTATGGGTAAAGGACAAAACCGAAAAAACGCAAAGAAACAAAAAATATAAAAAATACAAAAAATGAAAAATCAGACGCTTTGAATTGTTGAACGGCGAAGTTGTTTTGAACGACAACGTTCAGTCGGGAAATCAGTTGTGTATTAGATATTTGCTCGTGCCGCCGTCGTTGGCTGCTGTTTGTTGTATTGTTAAGGACTATACTTAAAATAAATATATGTAACAGATAAGATAAAAAGTTGCCCAGATATGAAGATATACATTTTGAGTTCTTTAGCTTCTCCTCTTCGCTTTAAATTATTATTATAGTTTTTTTTTCTTGTGATAAAACAGTTTTACTTTACACTTGTAAGTCTGAGAAACAGATTTTGCAATAAAATAAAATATAAACGAATTTTCGCAATTAGTGAAAAGTGTACAAAATATTAAATAAAAAAGTAAAATTAATGAAAGAAATACAAACATAAGTGAGAAATTTAAAAAATGAAATTTTGAAATTATTTTTAAATTAAGCAACTAATTTAAGAAATATATATAAAAGAGAAAAAAAATAAAAAACAAAAAAATATGTCTGACAATATTCAAAAGCCAAATGAAGCATAATTACAGGAATTTCAGCGAGACCATTTTAATACAATACCATACTACCACACCACCATACCACCATTCGCAACAGCAAGAACTTCAAACTCCACCAATTGAAAGAAATCCGCAAGCCAAATTTTTGTATATAATTTTTTGCAAATAAAAGCAAAACATAAAAACAACTCATTAAGTTAATAAGAAAGTCGTCTAAATTAAAGTAAGCACGCAAAGAACCATCGCCGAAAACAAATATTTTTTTTATTAACAATGATTTAACAAGAAAAACTAAAACTAGCATAAGCTAAATAATAATTAAACCCCACAAGTACAACAGTAACAACAACAACAACAACACCAACAACAAAAATAACCTACCAACTGCGAAGGGGCTACGGCTACGGCTACAGCTACGACCACGACCACGACGACTACGACTTCAACTAACGAAAAACAACAACGCGACGGAAAAGAAGGTGCTTAGAGCTCAACGTACAACGGAAGCGTCTAAAAACGGAAGCAACTGCGGCAGTCGACAGTGAAAGGTGAAAATAAAGCATTTAGTTGTTTGAAAGGTAAAAAATCAGCATGAAAATTTTAGAAAATTCGCTAAAAAGTACAATAGAAAAAATAAAAAAATGTAAACCATATTAATAAAATGTTGTTGAGGAATTTCTAATTGCAAATAAAGTTTTCCTGTTCCCTTTTCCCTTTGTTAACGTTACATGGCCGTTAAGAACGCACACTTGAGGTTCGTTACATTACAATATACTATTGTCGCGTTTCGTTTAATAATTTGATTTTCTCTTGCATGTGCTCGTATAGTTAATTTATATATGCTTACAGATTTGTAGAAGTGGGCGTGTGTTATTTAAATGGACATATTATTTGAGAAAAAATCCTTTGAACAAACTAGAACAATTTCCTGTAAGATTGGCATTGTTAATCAAGTGAGAAATTGCTGTAGGTTATTTTTTAAATTGTCTGGGTGGAGTTAGGTGGTTAACCAGATAGCATATTTTTATATGTTAAGATAATATACTATAATAATACATATATACTAGCCCAAACTGTTAGAGTAAAGAAAATATAATAAAAACTTAGTTCAATAACGCCAGAAACTGCTAAAGAATGAAAAGTACTGGAACTATACTAGAATTATAAATTTTGTGCTGAAAAACAATTCGTTAATCTAACACAGTAGATATTCTAATTCTATTATTTTTATCGATGAATTTTTATTCTGCAAATATATTAGGATTTGCTCTAGTTGATCTGTGTGTGCTAAGAATGCAGAAATCCCATAACCAGTTTTTAGGTATTAAAATAAATTGTTTAATAATCATTTACTCTTAAATATTGTTTATTGTTTATTCTGAATTGAGAGATAGCAATATAAGAAAATAAAGTTAAAAAACAAAAAAAAAATAATAGTAAAATAAATAAACTTTATAAATTTTTGTTTCAACATTTCATTGTTGTAGGCTTTTACAACATCCTAAATATACACATACTGTATATATTTAGGATGTTTAATATCAAAAGAACATTTATAATAATTAGTTAGTTAATAAATTACAATAAAATTTTATAAAATACAATTCCTAGAATAGTATCAAACATTCTGTAGAGTCTCCAAGCTTTTAAAAAGGCAATCATTTTCCTTTATTACTTTAAAATATTTTTCATATATTTTCATATATCGTTCTATTTCATTTTCGAAATAGATGAAAACAGAATATATTTCATTATCCTTTAAGTCTAGTTAGCAGTTATTTAAAATTATTTCCAAAATCGTTGTAATATATAAATACAGCAAGTAAAATTGTTAATAAAAACTTTCATAGCAAAAGTAACAAAACTCCAGCAAAAATATGCGAACATAAAAAGTCAAGAGTACGGCTTTGGATCAGTTGGTTAAGGTGCGCTGATTCTGAGCTTCATATTTGGCAGGACCTGAGTTCGATCCCTGGTACTTGCAGTCTCAAAAAATAATTATTTACGAATAATTAAATACAAGAATTATTTCCAAGACCACTGATGAAGGGTATTTGGCAATACTCGAAACAGCTGTATGGTCAGCCAAAAATTCAATTAATTAAAATAATTTAAAAAATAAATTTTTGTTGTTGTTTCACTTCTGTTCGAAAACCTCTTTATACAAAATTATTTACTAAATATCATATAGTAAATATTCATTTATTCTCGATTAAATTAATCGAATGTTACAAAAATATTTACGGCTTATAATAATTGTGTCCGTTGTGTTATCACTGCTAGCGGACTGTTGGAGTTTTGGATATAGATTCAATCTTAAAATTTTTGTGGAAAACCAATTTCGATTAGACTTTCAATGACTTATGGTCCACAACTTTAATAGATGTTATCGAATGGGGCTCCAACCAGTGGCGTAACTACATTTTTTAGGCCTGTAAGCAAATTCTAACTAAGGGGCCCCTACCAGCATACTAAGGGGCCCCTCTTTTTGTACTCTTTACACGAAAAAATGTAAAAAGGATATATAAGGTTTGTCAAGATTTTCGTAACGCATTAAAGGAAATACCATTAAGTATATATCAGTATACTTTTACAGTTCAAACTACTCTCTCAGCTTTTGAACTCTTCGAATGAAACTTTATACACAGGGAGCGCACCCTGTTCACCATTTGATTTGATTGAAATTGGACGTCTATTTCTTGTAGCTGTGATATAAACTTAACAATCGGATATGAAGTTTCTCCGTTTTTAATAAAGGTAATCAAATGGAATATGGTGTATACAGTACTGATATTTGCAATAGACAACGTACAAAATTATTTTCAAATGGGTTTAAATTTAGATATAGCTTCCATATAAACTCTCGATCAAGACACATATTTTTCTTAGAAAAACTTTTTTATTTCATAAATAGGTTTAATATTTAATATACG